TCATTTTCCTCCCTAAGCCTCCATGTGAGAATACAGTGATGAGAACATCTCACCCAAAGCAGTGAGGGCTGTGTGTCCGGAAGCTGCAGGGACCTTGCAAATGAGGGTTTGCAAACTATCTTTGTAACTCCAGCTGTTTGCTTTAAATTGCCTCCCCAGCACCCAGACGCTGTTTCCTAATTCCCATTGGAAGTGTGTCGAAACCATACAGTAGGAGACTGGAATGCCAACCTCCCTCCTCTGTGTCGTCTTATTTCTGGGGAGCACAGTTTGCAGAAAAGAATAAAAGCAGCATGGACGCCTGTCTTCATGCTCCTTCCCCCATCACAAAATAAAAATGACAGTTGTAGTCTGTTCAAGACTTCTCCCCTTCTCTTCCTAAGCATCCTGTTTTCTCTTTCCAGATGCCACAAACTCCTGTTGTCATCTAGGGTCTAGGTTATAAACTTATTGCTGAAGAACGAGGATTATCATTTTTGAGATCTTGTAATCAACTTGACACAGATTTTTTTTTTTTTATCTCATTGCATCTGATGACTTCCAGACCCATCTACACTTGGGAGGCATCTAGGAAGCTTCATGAGATTTGGATGCTTCTGTCCCACCACAGAAGTTGAGAAATAGCCTGGAATGTGACCTGGGCTTTGGGGTCTCTTTAAATCCACTCCCAGCTGATCCGAACGTGTGAGCAAATTTGAGAACCACTAACTTCACCTTGGGACATTCTGGGACAGGAATTGTCACCACCCCTTTTTGACAGATGGAGAACCTGAGGTTGCATAAGCAAGTTGCAGGGCCTTCTTTCAACTCCTATCAGCCAGGTTCTACAGTGTGGTTGAGTTGCAGAAATTCTTTCTGGTCGGTATGGGATACAGGCCAGGGAGCTTGTTGGGAATGCCAGTTCTCCAGACCCTCAGAATTTGTTAAGAATCGCTGCAAGGAGTTCTGATATGTGCTGGAGTTTAGAACTCTTAGTGAGGCCGTGTCAGGATGCGTTCAAGGTCAAGATGATGAACTCCCAGGCTCAGAAGCTGTGGCTCAACCCCTCTCCCCCCAAGTGATGTTAAGACCTTAATAAACATGGGATTATCATGGATGATGAGTTAAAAATTACTTTAAAACTTCTTCCAGGAAGTTCAAGATCCTCCCATTATACTGCTTTCTGTGTTTTAAGTTAGTGAGTTTTAAAGCCAGAGTTGACCACCCCTTGGGAGCAGGGACCGCTGCATCTGTTCCTGCAGACCTGAGCAAGCAGTGGAGCCCCATACTCTTTGCTTGATTAATGACCTGATGGAACCCAAATAGGGCACCAAAGTAATCAGAGAATCCTGGAAGTGGCCTCATTTCCAGGCTGGAGGCTGTTGCCATACATGATGAAGATGTGTGGGAGGCAGAGACTCTGCTAGACACGGAGCAAGTGCCCTCAAGCTGCAGGAGACAGCTGGCTTGGCACAGGATCAGATGGAGGAGCATCCAGTTGTGTGGGGCCAGGGCTCCAGCAGGTGTTTCCAAAGCCTTGGCTTCAACATCTCTTGCCTGTAGAGTTAGAGCCAAGGGGTAGCTACAAGCCCCACATGCTGCAGACACACAAAATCTTCATCTCTAATGAAACATGCTTTCCTTCCTGTTCCTGTTTCTTTAAGCAAAATAATAACTTGACACAGGTCCAAGCAGTTGAAATGATACTGAGAGGAACTCAATTTAGAAGGATTTTTAGGAGGCTGAAACAGATGTGGCAAACCATTTCAAGATACTCTGGGAGATGAGTTGGGGAGGACTGGATTCGAAATGGTCCCTCTGCCTTTTCTGAACCCGCCCCGACAAGTGCTGGCATGCGAGATGTGAGGTGCCCTAGACACTTTCTAGAAGGAAGCACTTCCATGCTTCTGTTGTCTTAATTGCCTCTGGATGGGAGCATCCAAGTGGCTCTGGGCCAACTCCGGACAGTGCATATCAGAGGCCACTGTCCTGTGTTTCGAGAGCAGCCGCACCTGTTCACCACCAGTGTGAGTGCAACAGGGGCCCTTGACTTGGAGCTCCCCCACATGAGCTGGACATAATCTAACCTAGAGGTTCCTGCCACCTGCCTACACAGGGAGGCATCCTGCTGCATCCCATTTGCAGAGATGCAGACCTCTGGAAAACTGTGCAGTAGAACTAGGTCAGATTTTAGATGCAATCTGAACTGGCACATGGGAACCATCCAGAAGAGAAACTCTGGACCCTCAGTCCCTGCTGGCAGGTTTTAGCTCTTTGACCCCAAGACATTGAAGGCCCCATGTTCATATTTGTTAAAAATGCCCAGTTGGAGAAGGAAAGGAATCTAAAATAGATGAATAGAGATGAATAGGCAACCATACATCAAACTGCTTTACACCTATTACACTTGTAGTCTGTCAACTATGATACACCAGATAAGGGGTTTTTATTAGGTAGAAGATCCCTGGTATAACACAAGTTACAGGTGCATCTGTGTGTGTGTGGGGGGGTGTATATGTGTGGGGGGTGTTCTTGTTCTATTATACTTTCCACAGGGGAAAAAAAACTTTTTAGTTGTATTGAATTGAGTTACTCCATGTTAAAAGTATGCATGCATACTGTATTTGTAGTTCTATCCACTACCTTCTGCTTGCATGATTGACGTCACAGAAAGGGCAAAGCAAGGCCTTCAGCACAGAGGAGAGTCCAGTGTGTGCTGGATAAGCATCCCTGTTGTGGACGTTCTATAAATGAAATTGTGGTCACCTTCAAGTTAAATCCCTCTACATAACACACCGTCTGATCAGACGGACTTTGCATCTAAAAAGAAGTCGGATCTCTTTTAATCTTGGCTATTTTAGGTATTGCTTGGGTATTTGTGATGGATATTTCTGAGATCCTGTAGATCCACCCTTTAATAATGCCACAGATAGCATTTCCAGGCTAAAGGCTGTGCAGGGAGATTCCCAAAGGGGACTGAGAACATCGTGAGATCAAATCCATCTTTGCCCTGTGCTTCACCTGCCTCAAACTCTGCTTTATAGATTATCAACTAAGGTTAGTAAGGATTATCTTGCAGAAAGTTTCCAGAGTTTAGAGGCAGCTAGAGCACTGGCCAGCCACGAGCCACACTACAAACATTAGTGTGGCAGGGATGTTTGCCACGCTAAAAGGGTCTTCTCAGCCCATCATTCTTTCTGAAAATGTTCCCTGTCTGGGATTTTCCTCCTCACGCAGATCTTATGCCTGTCCTCATGAGATACAGCCCTGTGTGGCCACTGCATATTGATCGTGTACAGAATGTGACCTCCAGGTGCTGCAGGATCCGAGGAATAAGCAAAATACCCCCTTTCCCACTGGCCAGTAATAACCAGGTGCCAAGTTTTGTATGAAGGATCTCATCCTTGCTACCAAATATGCTCCTTGGGAATCAAAGGGAGTTCACATCTTTGGAGAAAAGACTGGGGGAAGGGGAAGGGGTGCCTCTAACATGTGCCTTAAAGAATAGGAATTATCACCTGGAAAGAAAGAGATAGGAGAGGACATTCTAAACAGAAAGGATGGTTTTGGATCACAGAGTCTATTGGGGGATTAAGGTAAATGTATGTCCTTGAACATAAAATAGAAAATAAAAATGACAGTTGTAGATTGGACTGGAAATGCAAGTGATGGGCAATTTTTTAAAGCCACTTACACCCCAGACGAGAGAACATGTCGTCACTCTCAGAGACGGTGCTGGAAAGCAACAATCTTACAATAGCACAAGTCAGAGTGTTGGGGTGGGGGCAGTGCTCCACTCAGGAGGCGGCTTCTGGATCTTGCCTGTGTAGAAAGAACATCTGTATCAGATGACCCCGTAGACCACACTGAGATTGTGGCAGGGAAAATAGAAAGAACAGAAATTATGTCTGGGAGGTGTTTCAAAGATGTGATGGAATTTTGCACAGCCCTAAAGAAAAATGAAATCATTGCATTTGCAAGGAGCTCATCATGTTAAGTGTTAAGTGAGCCAGACTCAGAAAGACAAATTCCATGTTTTCTCATCTATGTGGAACTTAGATTTGTAATCATACATGTGTATATATATATATATATATATATATATATATATATATATATATATATATATATATATATATATATTGGGGGAGACTAGAAAGGAGTCAGGAAGAGGAAGAGGAGGAGATCATAAAGGAGGCAGGAAACAGAGAGGGCAATGGGATCGATGTAATAAGAAAGCAGAGTGGAGCCAGGCGGTGGTGGCGCATGCCTTTAATCCCAGCACTGGGGAGGCAGAGCCAGGCGGATCTTTGGAGTTCGAGGCCAGCCTGGGCTACAGAGCGAGATCCAGGAAAGGCACAAAGCTACACAGAGAAACCCTGTCTCAAAAAACCAAAAAAGAAAGAAAGCAGAGTGGGCACTCACTGGGAGGAAGAAAGAACCAGCTCCCAAGCAAGAGGGAATATGGAGGAGGGATGCATGTGGACAAAACATAAAGACACACATGTATGACTGTAAACAACAGTGACAAGAAACTGAGTCTGAGGTAGAATTAGTTACAAAGCTACTGTTCCTCTCTGGGCAGAGTCATTTTATCTTTAGAATTGAATCAGGTTTTCTGCTCAGTCCTCCCCCAAAGCCCTGAGTCACTTTCTGAAACTTAAGCTTCAAAGAGACTAAACTATGCAAACTTCCCCTTGTGGGTTCTTTTTCCAGACCGTTTCCTGAGTAGCAACGACGGGAAATGGATGCTTACTATAACGGGATAATAACTACATTCTGTTAACTTTAGACCATGTCCCTACATTTCAGTCTTCCCATGACTTCACTTCACTTGCTTTTGGAACCGAGGAATGAGGGGAGCAGAGGATGTTGAGAACAGTGACTGACAGACTTGCTTTGGAGTTCACGGCTAACGCGGGCCGGCGTGCACACTTATCCCTGTAAACCATAGTATGACCCCTTCATTGCAGGCACTAAATGAAAACCTAAACCCGTCATTCCCCTTGTGTTTCCTGAAGGTGAAATGCTGCAAATACTGGCCAGATGACACCGAGATCTACAAAGACATTAAAGTGACTCTGATAGACACCGAGCTGCTGGCAGAATATGTGATAAGAACATTTGCTGTGGAAAAGGTAAGTGGGAAAGCCGGAGCGAGCAGCAGACCCAGATGCAGGTAGTCTCCGGTAGTTTCCCCAGACCGCATCTCACCCTCCGATTCTCTAACAGCTCCGCTCCATCCGCAACGTAAACCATTCCCATTTCACAGCCGTCTGTTCCTTTGCGACTAAACACGAAGACGGTATCTGCCGCGCTGTTTTCATTTTTAACACGGATGATCTTTGTCTCTGCCCTTTTCTCTTTCTCGATTCATCAATCAGAGTTTATTGAATTTAGATAAATGCCCTTGGAGCTTGATGAGTCTCTTCCTGTGTTGAATGTCCACTTGGGTTCTCCAGGACTGCGTTGGCCTAAGTGCCGAGGCAGACAGAGGTCCTAACAGCTCTTGGAATAAATACCTCACTCCCTTCAGGCTTTCTCGGGTCCAAGTTCAAAAGAGACTAAAGGGTTCTCTGAGAGGCAGTGATCTCCCTGGAAGCCCACCCGAGGGAGCTCCATCAGTCACCGGCAAATCCTGCATGAGCCAGCATCTTTCTTCATCTCTCGCTCCACTTGGGTCTCAGCCCTGGGTGAATGCCGCGCATTGGTTCTGTCCCACCTCATCCCACACGCATGGATAGGGCTGCTTCTCTGGGAAGCGCTGTAGGGCGTAACAGGGAATCTCCTTATTCCCCCCTCTTTCTGCTGACATAGGGAGGGGCCGGAGGTGAAGCAAACTGCAGTCCGTCCAGAGAAGTGCCACAGGTACGCTGTGGGGAAGGTGGAGGTGCCGTGACGGAGAGACATTCTTCCCCTCAGAGGCCCCACAGGCTTTGCTGTCCAGAGCCCATTCTCCAGGGCTCAGCCCTGCCCAGCTGCTGCGCTGGGCTTACCAATTTGTCCTGACTGTGTTCTGCTCTCACTCACCAAGTGGCAGCAGACGCCTTAGAGCGCTGGGTGATGCCAGACTGACGGGCGCTTGGCTCCTGGCCCCTCTCCTGATTCTGTGTTGTCGCTGCATCTTAAATGCCCTTTTTAGAGTAACAAGGGGATCTCTGGGAAATAAGGAAAGCACGTTTGTCTGATTCACACTGATGACTGGAACCGTCGCTCCTAGTTTGAAAACCCAAATTTATGACAGCCTCGCAAAGCTGAGAAGGCTGTAGTTTATTTTAATCTGTTTCTCATACTGTTTAGCTTCTTTTTCCTATAAGCTGTCCTTTAAAAAAATAAATAAGCAAGAGGGAGCCTTGGAGACTTCAAAGAATGTGAAGTTCTGGTTGACTCAGTTCCTCGAGTTCTAAACCTCACACTTTGATGTCGATGTTTTTCCTTCTCAGGCAAGACTGTGCAAGAAAAAGCACTTGCAGGATTTTTGTATGGCTCTTGGCAAGAACACTCATGAATATCCGCATTAAAACAGCAATAAAAGACCCTCGATATTTTTTCCCTAAGCCACTGCTTAAACATGAAGTTCTTTGAACAATAGTCAGCTCTCTAACAAGCTGAAAATGCATCCTGGTTGCTACCGGGAGGGTGGGTGGGTGGGTTTCTTTGCTCTGTTTTTAACCTTTTGCTGCCTCTGCTAAATTCCCAGCTGCATAGACATGTCCCTCCGACACCCAGTTATTTCAGTCCTGAGGCACCAGGGCAGAGATGGTGCAGGGAGGGGAAGGGAGAGGAGCTTGCAAAAGCGTTGGGAGAATCAAAATGGAGTGTTAATGACTTTCTGACTGGGCACTGGGAGTCTTGAAGAAAACCCTGTCGTTTAACTCCTGGGGAACACTTCCAGGACTTTAAAACTTTGTCATTAAAAAGGGAAAGAAAAGCAAGTGGTTAGCTGTGGGCTTTAGGTTTCTGCAATTCTATTTTGACATCAGGATGTATGTAACAAGAGACGTAAGGGTGAAAACTAGATTTGGGCGCTGCTACAAAGCCACCAGACAGCAGTAGCCTGGAGTAGATGAATTCCTCGTTTGCATCTAATGGTCCCCTCTTTTGTCCCACATATCTAATTGTTTTGTGTAGCATACGATACCTGTCATGTCAGGAAGGCGACTCTGAGGCCCCCACAGACCTAGACGTTGTCTGCTTTGGCAGAATGGAAGCTGGAAGTGGCCACTGTATCCTCTGTGCCTACGAGACACCCTGAGACTTAGAGAAAACAAGAGGAGTAAGATGCCCTGTCTTAAAGACAGACACACACTTCACGATTCAGCCCATCATTCCAGACATAAAATAAGCCCCCTTTGGGATAAGCACAATCCCTCTTCCCATTATACTGAATCAAAACATTAATGATTTATACTTTTTTTTTTACAGCATTAATGCATTTCCAATGAAAACTAAAGAAATAATGTAATTAACATCCAGCTGGGAAATACTTAGGCTATGATTGCTGATTGTTCCTGTTTCCCCAGGAGAACCTGTCTTTCATATACCAGAAGGAATGTTGTATCAGACGCAATTTCCTTCACTAATCTTGACAGTCATGAGCAGATTAGAAAGTGGGAGTTCATTGTGGGAACGGGTTTTCTGGATTCTCGAAGCTAACGTGTACCTTGCTGTGACAATGAGCAATAAAGACAGGAGTTGGGAGCCCATCTCATGACGGATGTCACTCTGGGACTGAAGTTGAGCAGAGGAAAATCTCATCCCCCATCCCTTGGAGGACATGAGCAATTATTGCCAAAGCTGTCCTGGTTCATGGGATGCCTGCCATCAGATTAGGACCACCACTGGCCAAATCATTGTGCTTAATTCCAGGGGAGCGAGCTCTCTAAGGGTTGGAAGAGGGCGGTGGCTTGACTATCTTCTGATGGGGTCTGTAGAGCTAGCCAAATGTTATTGTTTTTCAATGGTGAGGAAATTTGGCCTTTAACTACCTAGTACCATTATTCTGGGCCCCCGGAACCTGTTCAATTCATCTGCACTGTGAGGCCTATATGCTTGCTTCTTTACTATTCAAACTCTAGTAAACCATGGGATTTTCACAGAAAATAGAGCTTTGGCATTAGGTGTATCATTATATGAAAGATACACTAACCCATTGATAGCAAATAGCAAATGAGTCTTATTTTAAATTATGGACTCACATCTCCTACCCTTAACCAGCCCATCATAATACAGAGTTTATTCTTCATTCACTAAACATTGATGAATGGTTGGTAGAGAATCTGGTAAGGTCCAGGCATGTTCATCTGTAAGATGTAATAAAATCAAAGCCAAGTCCAGATGTGGGAAAACCATAGAGCCAGTGGATCCCAGGTTTACTTGTAGCCTTGGTTTTTAAAGTAATTTTTGTTTTTCAAACAGACTTTGGGGCTTGGAGATGCTCACTGGGTAAGAAGGTTTTCTGTGAAAGCAAGACGACCTGAGTTCAGATCCCCAGCCTCCACACAAACGTGTGGGCCTGTAACCTCAGTGTTGAGAGAACAGAGACAGACAGATCGGGGAGCTCATTGGCCATCCAAAGAAACTGAACCATGGAGGTTTGGGTTCAGTGAGAGACCCTGTCTCAAAAGAGGAGAGTGAGCAATAGAGGAAAATACACAATGTCCTTGTCTGACCTCTATGTATGTGTGCCTTTGCACGTGTGTGAATTGCTAGCTGCACACTCATGTGCACATATTATACCACATGGTGACTTACAACTGTCCTTAGCTCCAATTCCAGGAGACCCAGTGAGCAACAGGCATGCATGCAGTGCGCTCATATGCATTCAGGCAAAACACTCATACACATAAAAATAAATCTTTCTTTTAAAAAAAAAAAAAAAGAAGAGCAAATTGAAAGCCAAAAAATAAGCATGATGTCTCTTCCCACCCCACGCCCCCTTCAGTCAGTTCAGGATCAGGCAGTGTCCCGTCTTCAACCCCATTGGTCAAGTAGAAGATTCCAGTCAAAGGCCTTCTTGACCCTCACGTTTTCTGACACACCTGCTTCCACAGAGGAAATAGCCACTTGAGACAGGATAAGGCACCTTCATATTTCTATTAGCTCTGGCACCTCAGCACTTCAAGTATTTACAATCACAGAACTGCTGGTGTTTGAATGAATGGGCTACATATTTGCTTAAAATAAAAAGAGAAACCTAGCTGAGCCACAGATGAAAACAGATATGCTGGTCTGTCTGTTTGGAAAGGAATTCTCGTTTATTCTTTCAGCAAACATTTTCTAAGCGTTGGTGGTGTGTGTGCTCCATGTGAGTACCTGGAGCCAGGACAGGGGTCTTAACATTCCAGTAGCTGCGAGGGAACAGCATTTACTACAATCTGCTTTGTAAGAAAGGACATTTGAAGAACTAAAAAGACCCATTCATCTCCAGGAATTGCATGTGTAAATTAGCATGTCCCCAAACATCACCTCCCCTTTCACACCTATAAACAGCTCTGCATCATATGCCTTCCAGATTGGGTGTTAGAGCTACAAATGACCTTCTTCCCCAGGGGGTCGGTTGTTTCCAACCCTAGGCTTGCTTAGGGGTGATTTGTGTTCCGGCTTACTCTTGTTTCTCATTTCTTTTCCTCTGTTCCCCTTCCTGCCCTGGCTGCTGACCGTGGAGTACAGAGAGGCATTCATGAGATCCGAGAGATAAGACAGTTTCACTTCACTGGCTGGCCCGATCATGGGGTCCCCTACCACGCCACCGGTCTGCTTGGATTTGTCCGGCAGGTCAAATCCAAGAGCCCACCTAATGCAGGCCCCTTGGTGGTACACTGCAGGTAAGCAGAGCTCCTGGTACCTCCTCACAGATGCTCCATGAACCGGTAGTGTGTATGGGGTTTCATGGAGAGGGTGATGAAAATGTTCTAGTTTACCCAGAACTGGATAAAGTTGATAGTTGTGTCACATTTCAAATGTGCCTAATGCTTAAACCAGACACCTCTTAGTGTCTAATGACTTTGAGGAGCAGGAGCATCGTGGTGGTCCATTCCCTTTGCTGACGGATCCCTCTTTCCATGCAGTGCTGGGGCAGGAAGGACCGGCTGCTTCATAGTCATTGATATCATGTTGGACATGGCAGAAAGGGAAGGTGTGGTGGACATCTACAACTGTGTCAGAGAGCTCCGGTCCAGGAGAGTCAACATGGTGCAGACAGAGGTACTGCAGCTGCCCTTTATCCCGAGGCTTAGTCCCCAATCTGTCTTGTACACCCACCTCCTTGGGCAAAAGAAGCTTGCCGACTGTTTCTACCAAATACCCTAGGAGAAAATTTCTGTACCTGCCAACTCCTGATTCCTCCAGGCCTCCTCCCTCCCCTGTCTCCTCCCTCTCTCCCCTGCTTCCTCCCTCCCCTGCTTTCTCCCTCCATCCGTCCTTTTGTCTGTTCTTTCAAAAACAAACAAAAAAGGACTTTTCAAGTTACAGATTCCGGTGCCAAGAGTGTCCCAGGTACTGGGATCTGTAGCCATCAACCTAAATTCACACAGTTGTCTGTGCCAAGGGACTCCAAAGAGTCTCTACATTAAGCAGTCAAGGTTCCAACCCTGTTCATCTTCCATCTGTCTTGTAAACCAGCTGAGAAGCAGAGCAAGACAGTTCCTGAGGATAGCTAGGTGTCTGCCAGGCTGCTCCCGGGCAATCTGCTCTGTACATTTTATTCTTCTTTGGGCATTAAAAGAATTCCAGCCTCCTAGCCCTAAAAAGTTCTTCCCTGTCACCTGGCATCATGGGACTTTGCCCAATTTGTGGAAGTACTTCGTACCAATTAGTAACTCTTAAAGTGGCAATACAAGGTCTATCAGAGAACTTAACATTTCTAAAACTTACATCCTGGACCTAGGACCTAGGGCCCGTGGAGGATCAGTCCTGAAGCAGCATGAAGAAAAATTATTATCCTTTATGTTTAGGTTATACACGAAAGTTTACAAAACCCCTGGGAAGAATTCCAGGAGGCAAAAAAACACTGCCTTCCGTTTCTCTTTTCTTTAGACTAGGGACATATTTTAAAATATAATGGTAACCAACTTTTTATATGCAACATGCTCTAACAGTTGATCAAGCATTGAAATCCCCATCTCCTCACTTCATCTTCCTTTTCCAAAGTGTTATGTATAGAAATTGATGACACAAGAAAGCCTTTAACATTTCATACAATTGAAGATCAATAATAAAGATGGTGGAAGTTAATCCTAGGGAAAGTCTCCACCAAGTCACAATTAGAAGAATAGTATTTACACTTGTGTGTTGACGTGGTGATGGGGACCAAATCCAAGGGCTTGCATGTGTGCGACAAATGCTCCCTCACGGAGCTACGCCCCGGGTTCTAAAGAGCCCATCTTTTAACTGTAGACTGCACTCATGTAAAGGAGCTGTGTTCTGGACTTACTGAGCTCTGGTAACTATCAGAACCAATAAGTCATGGTTTAGATTAAGTTATTCCTAAGAGTCATAACTGTCTTCAGAGCAAAGTCCACTTTCCCTGGACCATTTTTTTATATTGTGGACTTGATTGGGGCAATCCTTCCAACACCACCCAAATTATTCTCAGTCCTCCTCTGAAATACTGAGTTGCGAATCTGTGGGCTCAGAAGTAGAGAGGTGTTCCAGCCACTGTCCCACTGGCTCTGATCGCTCCGTGTAACATTCTTCACAAAGCTAGTTTGCTTTATCCTCCTGTTCTCCATCAAGTGGCATGCCAGCTGTCGGGCCAACCCCATCTCCTGGCACCAGGGCCTTTATAACACTTGTTTCTCTGTCACCTTGATGTCCTGGGGCTGACCACACACTACTCCCCCTTCCTTCTCTCGCTCTCTGGGTTCACCCTGAGTTCTCCATCACTAACTAAGTCCGTCTGCTTCTTCAGGAGCAGTACGTGTTTATCCATGATGCGATCCTGGAAGCCTGTCTTTGTGGAGACACCTCCATTCCTGGTTCCCAAGTCAGGTCTCTGTATTATGACATGAACAAGCTGGACCCGCAGACAAACTCAAGCCAAATTAAAGAGGAGTTCCGGGTAAGTGGAGATCTAGACTGGGGGCGCGCGGGGGCTGGGGGGGAGGACTGGTAGGCTGTGGCTTTCCTCTTTGTGAAGACTCTCAAAGTGAACTCTTAGGCCTTCAAACCAACACAGAGCTTCCCAATGGCGGGACCCATGGCACTGAGGGCTGGACGACTCTTTCCTCTGGTGCTGTCGGATAGGGCATTTCACAGCATCCCTGGGCTCCACTTTCTAAATATCTGTAGCAGTGCCAGGCTGAACACCCCGAGGGCCAGAATTACTTGGCTTCAAGTCACTAGTCTAGCAGAACCATTTGCATTTCAAGTAGCCACCAACCCGTTCCAAGATCCAGGACACCTGGTTCGTAGCATAACTAAGCATGGGTTCAATCCATCCATGGAAATAGCCTTTAAGGTCTTCATTCAGGTACAAGCAAGTCCAGGTTTTATGTAGCTGTCCCTAACTCGAAGCCAATCCTCTCCTGACTTCTTGCCTCCCAGATTTTCAGTAACCCTGCTCCAGTTAGACTGGATGGTGTTTTATGCCATGGATCTGCAAGGCCCTTTGCCTCTGGCTCCTATGGCTGAAAGGCATTGTGTGCAGACAAAACCCAAGGAGGGAAAGAGAAAATGGAGCTGTAGAATTCAAGGTGTGGGGGGCTCCCACCCTTCAGTCAGCTGAGCATGAGACAAAGCTGTCCTCTACCTCATGTGCCTTTTTAAAGGAATCAGTTTACCCATAGATTTTTCCTGGCACATTTTATCAACCCACACTTCCTTAGGAGTTTCTCAATTGTGTTTCATTGTCTCAGTTGGCACATTAAAACGGCACGTTTATGGGGTACGACACAGTGTTTTCATACATGGATTCATACTATCGAGTCATATGGAAGCATGAAATCGGCCACCTATGGTGGTCCCGCCCCTCCCATTTATCCTGCAGACTCTCAACATGGTGACGCCCACCCTAAGAGTGGAGGACTGCAGCATTGCACTCCTGCCCCGGAACCATGAGAAAAACCGCTGCATGGACATCCTGCCTCCCGACCGCTGCCTGCCCTTCCTCATCACCATCGATGGGGAGAGCAGCAACTACATCAATGCAGCCTTGATGGATGTAAGCTTACATCCCCTTCGGGTCCATGGGAAGGAAACAGAAAATGTGTATCCTTGAGCCAGAGCCCCAAGAACACTGGGAATGCTCATCTTGTTTATGTGCCCCCTCTGGCCTTTTAAGAGGCCAGCTATTCTTTCCAATAACAACAGAAATAGATCTAGCATTCCATGTGTGAGTTTGTGTGAGGCAGAGGTTCCTGCTCACACACCGCCTGTCCAAAGTCCTCAGAAATGAAGCCCACCTAAGCTACACTGACTGTCACGTTATTTTAGCCTGCTGGCCAGAGAGCAAGAGGCAGCTGTTATGTCCTCTGGCAGGGAAAGGGGATACCATGACTGACAGCATTATTTAGTTCCCCTTCTTCCTAATTCAGGCAGTAATTAACATGGGGAGAAAACACAACTCATTGCCTCCTGCCAGTCTGTTTACATCTTGCTATTCAACTGACAGGAAAGTAAATGGGTATTTTCAGTGCTAATGTGTAAATTTTAATTCTGCTGGTGTGACACCATAAAGGGGCTTAAGCTTGTTTAAAGCTCCCGGAGCCGACAAAAGCGTGCGTCTCTTTTATGGCAGTGATAAGTAACACTGTCACCCAGATAAATGACAAGCAAATGGGCTTGGGGAAAACCAGAACTATTTTCATTGCACTTAGTTTTTAAAGCAAACTGAAACTTTCTCCACCAGAATTATTAATATGGAGAGCCAATATTGCCTGTCAGAAATATAAAAAAAAGGTAAGAAATAATTATGAAGTTCCCATGCTATTAAAGTGAGAATATTTCATAATAATTTCACTGAAAAGCTTATATTTAGTCCATCTTGGTGTTGACAATGATGATAGAATTCAACAATCACTAAATACGTCCAGTGTTTTGTGCCACACATCTATCCCCATGTGCACAAAATAACTCTCCCTGTGTTGTGCTGAGTATATCCGGGTCTTTCTTGTTTGTGTTTGCAGAGCTATAAACAGCCATCGGCGTTTATAGTCACCCAGCATCCTTTGCCAAACACTGTCAAAGACTTCTGGCGACTGGTCTTGGATTATCACTGCACATCGGTAGTTATGCTCAACGATGTGGATCCTGCCCAGGTGAGCCCAGGGATTTTTCCAGGTGGAGCACAGGTCACGGGGTCAAGTCTGTGTGTGCTTTGTTTGAATGAGATGGGCAAGCCCCACAGCCAGTGCTCGGAGGGAGGCCTGTTGAAGGGCGTGAAAACAAGGGTAACAAGTGAGAATTAGAGGCTACCAAAGAAAGCCAGTGAAAACCAAGAAGACAGACAGACTGAAGGCTTGGATCCAGGAAGCGGAAAGACAGGAACAAATAAATAACATTTCCATTGGTGAGCTTCAAGGGCACAGACAGAGTCCAAGATGAACTGGGACCGCCATTGCAGAGCCATAGAGAGAGCCAAGCCAACCGATAGAGGCAGGAGACAGACCTTGGTCTCTGTGCTTCTTGGAACTGCTCATCTGAGGCCTGCAAGGGGGGCGGTGGGCATTGGGATGGCAGGGCAGTGGAGGCAGGCAAGCAGGCTGAAATGGCTTTGCACTTTGTCGATTCTTTGTAAAGATAGTCAAATAAAACTGGCACTGGGTATAAGCTTGGAACACTCAGTGGAGCCTCTCGCAGAGACAACAGGGAGGAAGCAGAAAGCCATGGTGAGCAGGGTGGCAGAATTTCCTTGGAGGGAGCTAGCTGTCAGGAGAGTCTTAGCACCAAGGCCCTTTGGGAGCAGAATCTGTTCTCCTCACAGACGTCACCGCCATGACAGAGGGCATTTGGGAAACTTCAAGCTTAGTGTGTATTAAGAATAAACTTGTTCGGGAATTAATTAATATCCTCTCCAGTATAGAAATCTTTATTTTTAAATAGGGCAGGCGTGCTGGTGGGGGCTCCTGGAGTGTGTCAGCATCTAAACAGGACAAGATGTTTCTTTCCCAAAATACATTCCGTCGCCATTAATGTTCATACGCATCCAGGGTTTTTATGTTGGTGGCATTGCATTGTAAGGTTAAGGCTCGCACTCAAAAGCTAGCTGGCGGAATAATAATGACAGTCCTTGTTCTTATCTACTCCTTTTGGCTTAGCTTCAGCATTTTAGAATTCTCCCTCCTCTCTGCTCCCAGAACAGATTGTCACTGTTTACGAAAGCACGCCCAATTCAATAGAACCAAGAACTGTCATTCTACCTTGTAGGCAGCAGTTAGATTTCACCAATTTAAGAGCCAGGCATGGGGTACAGGATGTGTTCCCTGTGTCGAGTCAGTTTGCCTTGTCCCTGATGCGAAGGTACATGTGGGTCACCTATCGGTCAGCAATGCTAGCGGTGTCTATGAACCCAGCATCTGAATGCAGAAGCCGCATTCTCCACTCAAAACTGTCTGGACTCCAACCAAGCCTTGGCTGACTGGCAGGCAGAGACAAAAAAGACTCCCATTCTATTCAGCAGACAGAGCTGATTTCCGGGGGTGGACGTTGGGGGTGGGGGGTCGGGAAAGGCTCCCGGGACTCTGTCTTTTAGCAAATGCTAAACTGAGCGTTGGAACTCATAGACTTCATGAGTGTACAAGACTGCCTGCCACTCAGCTGCTTTAAGTATTTATCAGACCAGTTCATGGATGTGTTATGCACCATTTAAGCCATTTTCTACATGGTTTCCTTGGGCAGAATGTAGGGCACAGTGTGCCAAGAGCTAGATGCCAGTCTGGGCCATTCATATTTCTGTGGTATAAATGACAAGCTTTTGATCAGGCGTTTGAACTTCGAAAATAAGCAGCCAGCAAAGCCAGCCCTGTCCACAGAGAACTGGGCAGAATCGTTCCGATGTGTTCGCTGTGGTTTTTATTGCCATCTCAAGCTTTCTGTCACCATGCCCTTTAATCTTAACAGAGGGCACCCTTGGGAACCAAGAAGGAAATAGACATCTGCATGCTATTGTTTGACAAGGTAGTTTAATAACTTGTCACCAGGAAATGCTGCCCAGGAGGAAAAATCCCATGGAAGCATTATTTCAAAATAAATAAATGTAATTTCTAAATCTAACAGACCTAGCTAATATAAAGAATAGTCTTGGTCACCCTACTTTCCCTACTTAATCTTTATCATGGATTAAAAATTTATCACGGATAAAGAGGGAGAAAAGAGAGGGTGCTATTTCAGTTGACTCACTGTTAACTGAGAATTTGCCTTGCGATCTCCAATATACAAATCAACCTTTGAGACACGTGACAGTGACATTTTAGACCCTTTCAAAAGTAAAAGACATCAAAAAAGAAAATTCAACCCATGGATCCTGCTTTTAGTAGAACATCAATTTGCTTTAAAAGACTATGAAGATATATCCATCCCAGCGCCTGGTTGCCAGTTCTGAATCTTATCCCCTGGCTAATGCATGCTTTTTGAGCAAACAGCCAGATGAGGAGAAGTGTAAGTGAGGACAGAGTCATCAAGAAAGTCCTGGGGTCTGGGCCTTTTAGGAAGGAAAGGAGCTGACATTTAAAGAAGTGTGTTGATTCTGACTTATCCAGTAATTATACTTGTTTTTCTGTGTTTGGGGTTCAGTTGTGTCCACAGTACTGGCCAGAAAACGGAGTGCACAGACATGGCCCCATCCAGGTGGAATTTGTGTCTGCAGACTTGGAAGAAGATATCATCAGCAGGATTTTCAGGATTTACAATGCCTCCAGAGTAAGAGTCGGGGCCCAGGGTGCTTAAACTGGGGTTTCGTAATTGTTTTACTGACTGTTGGCATGCCTACTCTGTATCAACCTCTGTTCTAGGGGATTGGAATGTCTCAGTTAACAAAACAGATCCCTGGACTGATGGGGCCTATACGCTAACAGGAGGCTTGCTAAAGAGAGAGTTATTAACATGTGAAGGCACAATAAGAAGTACTTTGTTCAACGCTATAGACGTGGACCACCGTGGCAAACGCTACCTGAATCCAGCAAGAAGAGTGTGGAGAGTCTAGCCTAGAATAGATAGGGGTCAGCAGAAGGAAAATCAGGGCAAGGGGGATTCTTGCTGAAGATAGGCCAGAGAGAGCTTGGCATGGCGGATGCACTGGGACATGGCGGGTGCTGAAGAACCTGATCAGATATGGAGTGGTCACGTACTGGAGGGGAGGATGCTTGCTAAACTGACATGGTAGGGGTTGCAAAAAGTGAGTTTTACAAGGAATTGCAAAGATAGGCCCCCGGGAGGGTCCTGACTGAAACCAAGAATCGTTATCGGAAGACATAGGTAGAATTATGGTGTGTTAGAAAGTGATACACTTGAAAGGAATAAAAAGTGTGAGGTCACATCCCAGAGGTGTCACAGGTCCTCATTTCAGGCATTCCATGGGAGCAGACACTGAGGAAGGCAGTGGCCATGGCCTCTCTAGGAAGAGAGAAATGGCCTCACAAAGGCTCTATGGTAGAACTGGAGAACAGTAAGCTAAGCAAGAGGGTGAGAATGCAGGGACTGGCCGGGCCTTCTCCACCACTGTTAGCAGACTCTCCCTGGAAAGCAAATGGGGAGCCAGTAAGCCATTACAGGGTTTTTCAGAAGAACCGCTCCACCAGACGATTCACATCTGCAAATGAGCGCTCTGGTTCTGCCTTGAGATCAGACTCGATAGACAGAAGGACCAGGTGACAAATGGCAGTGGTGGGACGGGGGTGGTGGCTTTGGAGACAGTAAGCAGTAGATAGAGACTGCTAGATCCTGAAGCTGGAGCGGCTGGACCCCAGAGAGTCAAGGTGACTCTGCAGATTTGGATCCTGAGAAAGAAGCGGTGTGACTGCCATTAACTGGAATTGTTTTGCCTGTGAGAAAAACAGACCGTTTGGGGCAAAGAGCTGGGCTGAGGTTCAGTTTGGGACACAGTCGGTTTGGGATGACCATCTGAGCCCTGAGGTTGGTTTCCGAGTCCATAAGGGTGACATTCGGGAGAGAGGTCTACATGGTGACTGACTTGTGATACTCGAAGTCATGAAACTGACTGTAATTGACTAGTGAGATCAGGAGAAGAAAAAAGAACCCCAAAACCAGGTCTGGGAAGAGGGGAAACTGAGGCAGAGAAGGAGAAAGAGCTGACAAGGAAAGCATCCTATGAGACCCACCTCTGTCAGGTGCCGCTGAGTGCCAAGAGGGTCCTTCCAAAGCTGAAGCCTGTAATGTAGCGTTTGAATTCTGCAATCCTGTTTAATTACACGTAATGATTAATTAACTATTGACAGCACAGCAAAAGCCTCACTGTTAAACAAAGCCATATTATGTAGAAAACAGGGTAGAAACTGCATCACATTGAACTCGCAAAAATTTCTAGGTTAACATTTACCCCTTACCTTTAATTTACTTGTAATTAAAGTGAAGCCATTTTTCCACGTAATACACAGCGTGGTCAGTCTTCTCTTTGTTATTCTCTTCTCGGCTTTTACAAAATGTAAGCATTATGCTCCATTCTTGTTTATCTCTGGCCTGTCATTTAAAACACAGGCATCTTTATAACCACCGGAGATTAAAGTCATAACTCTCCAGGCCAGCAGAATCACCCTTTGTAATACGCTGGCTTGAGGCCCCTGAATAAATACCTTCCTCCCATGGGAAGATCAAGTGGGCGGAACCGGGCTCCCAGGATCCAGTCATGTAAGCTGTGCCTGTTTCCTCAACTCCCTGATTGGTACCTCGCCCTCTGCAGCCCCAGGATGGACATCGGATGGTCCAGCAGTTCCAGTTCCTGGGCTGGCCGATGTACAGGGACACACCTGTGTCCAAGCGTTCCTTCCTGAAGCTCATCCGCCAGGTGGACAAATGGCAGGAGGAGTACAATGGAGGTGAAGGCCGCACAGTGGTGCACTGCTTGTAAGTAGTCCATATAGTCCATAGAGCTCCTCCCCCAGGAGGGCCGGGCCCCGCCCACCTCTCGAGGCTCTAAGCAGCTCTGTGTCAGAGTGGTGATCAGCACTCTTACTGAATGATCAGTTGGCTGTCTAGAAACACAATGAATGGGTTGTGTGCTTGGGTGTCTTAGCCTGTTTTCTGTTTCTCTAACAAGATAAGGGAGACCAAGAGGTTTATAAGCCCAAGAGTTTGATTTCGTTCACCATTTTGAAAGCTGATAAATCCAAGAGTCCAGTCCTGGCATCCGGTGAGGGTCCTAGGGAGGCAGAGGACATCCCATGGCAAGACAGAACAAGTGTGCTAACATAGGTCACTGTCCTCTTTATAAAGCCACTAATGTCACCCAGGAGACCCTTCATCTGATCCAGAGACCCTCCCAAGGCCTCAACTTCAAATGTCATTAATGTCTTTGGAGATTAAGTTCCCAACACAAGAACTTGGAAAGCACATTCAAACTATGGGTGGTCTGTCATATGATCAAAATATGCATTTACCCTGTAATTGTGACCAACCCCTACCCCCAGAAGAGAGAAAGGCGTAGGGATGGCTTCAGAGGCAGTTCCTAGCTCAAGAGCCTACTCTTTATCTTCAGGAATTTTCAGCACTGGTCAAAATCATCCATACTAGAAGAAATCAGCCAATGCCAAAATCAGGGATCCCTCCCAGATGGCCATAGCTGGGTCATCTCATTGAAGTAACTGATGGTTCTTTAAAAAAAAAAAAAAATACTTCTTTTCCCTCATCCCTTTTGTAAGCGATGTTTTCTATAAATTGGCATACTGGTAGAATTTAATTAGGGTCTGCCATAGTTTGGTCTGAGATATCCCATAAAGACTCATAGGGTAAGGGCTTGGTCTCTGTGTGTACTATGAGCAAACCTTACAGGCCTACTGGGAGGTCTTTAGGTCGTTGGAGACGTGCCCCAAATGAAACGATGGGACCCTAGGCTCTTCCTTGTCTCTCTCTGGCCATGAGGTGAGCAGCCTTCCATTGCCACATACCCTACCTCAGTGGTGTGCTACTTCACCCCAGCCCCAAAGCCATGGGGCCAGCCAGTCATGGAGCAGAACTCCACAACCGTGGGCCAGACTAGCCATCATCTCTATATGAGCTGTTTATCCCAGCATTTGTTACAGGGACTGAAAGTTGACAAGCACAGAACCAGTGTCCTCTGAAGGGGGACATCTAGGTCAACAGTTGTAGCAGGCGCTAAAATGTCACAGTCCTTGGCCAGATGCTTCCCAATCGGACCTGTGCATTGGCAGTCCTTTGGGCAGAAGCTTCAGTGAGTATTGCCCTCAGGCCACACTGACACCAATTAAATCCCAGTCTCCTCATGGAACCCAGGCATCTGTGCTATTGCAAACCCCTGGATGAGTTCCACTTGCTGTCGGGAGCCACTGAGGAGAGAATGTCTTTCTTCCCAGAGCGCTTTCACCCCCACGTTCTCACTGGCAGTGATGTGCAGCTAATCATCCAGCTGGACTTGGCCTAACAGAACAGGCAATGAAAAGGCATGGTGGTCAAGGACGGCGCTCAGAGGATTTGAGGGAGTTCAAAGTATGAGCATGTGTTGCCTTTCAGAGAAATATCATTAGAAACAGAGGACAAGATCATTCCCGAATTGAAGGACAATGAACATTTCCTCTGAGCAGACCACCCTAAGTTTCAGTGGTAACTCAGGGAGGGTCCAGGTTACTCCTGACTCCCTGCCCTCACCTCATGTGGTGAAACCCCTGAATTTTTCTCAGACCCTCAGTATGCTACAGAAAACAGGTTCATTGGAAAGAGCCATAGGAACCTCCCCAGGCCTGTCCTCCATCTTAGGTCACCCTATCATATCTGTGTAGAGCAGTGTACTCATCCTCCCCATGCTTTGAACTCCCTTCCTGGCCATAGCCTCAGTGCTGGAGAAGTGTCTGTTCCACCCCCTTCTTATTTCTCAGAAGAAGATGAGAGGTTCAGCATACTGAGCCAATCAAATCACAACGGGGCCTTTATTTCAGCCAAGGCAGCCATCTTCCCGTAACTTGTCAAAATGAAAGAGAGAGGCACCCACTATATGTTCTTTAGGTCTTTTAAGAAATAGAGCTGGGAGGGCGGGGGTTGTGCATGGGCAGATCTACAAGAAGGATGATATTGTAGACATCAGCAGAATGGACACTGTTCAGAAAGGAACACCCGTAAGTGTTGCCATAGCAAAACAGACAGTCTACAACATCACTGCATGCCTTAGGCATCATTTCATGAGCAAGTAAGTTAAGGCAAGACCCTGGCCAGTAGGTGTGTGGATTGAGTACAACAAGCGCTCGAAGGGCCAAGATGGCCAGCTTCCTGAAATGAAGAAAGACAACCAGGAAAAAGGGAAGACAGAGAAAAGTTCCTGGGCGCCAGGCCACCTCACGTAGAGAAGCACACCTATCAAGTGCTAACAGGAAAGAAGCCTGAGCTACTGGAACCCACTGCACATAAATGCATAGCTTAATGTGCAAAAAGAAATAGAAGACCTATATAAAAAATAAATCCCAGTAGGAAAGTTGATGTTTTAATTAGCTGGTATTAGATCTGTTAGATTATTTTGGTTGGTTTGACCAGGCTGTCCTCAAACTCAGAGATCCACCTGCCTCTGCCTCTGGAGTGCTGGGATTAAAGGCATGCACCACCACCACCACCACCACCACCACCACCACCACCACCACCACCACCACCACCACCACCACCTGACTTAGATCTGTTAGATTTTTTTTGCATGGGTTTGTTTTTGTTTTGTTTTGTGAGGTCCTGGAGATGGAATCCAGAGCCTTGAGGATGCGAGGCAAGTGCTCTAATACCAAGTTACAGTCACAGACCAGTGGTTTATATTTTTAACATTAAAAGTAGTTTTCAGTTAGCCCTCCTGAATCTGGAAATCCTGCATCGTATCTGGAAGCATAACTTGTTTCGACCCTGAATACTAGCTTTCTAACATGAGCCAATCCTTGAGCCCTCGGGAATGGGTCACTACTGCAGATAGTTGAAAGGAAGAGGCATGAAAGATAAAAAAAGACCTGTTCAATCATGGCACGTTGTAGGGAGCATTCTTCCAAAGGGCAGCTGTGACCCTCCAACTAAGCAATTATAACACCGTTCCGTGTGGTGTCTCTAACAGCGGGCTGTCTGGCTGTCACAGACAGTGGTGGGCATCTGTTGTCACTCTTCTGCCTGCCTGCCATCTTTTTCTTATCCTCTGTGAGGGTACCCCCTCAAACTCTCCTCAGTCCCATAATTCCTGTGGAATTGCCTTTTGCTAATGTTGGGTGGGATACTCAGCCCTGTAGAGAAGGTTTGGGTTTCTTTTTAAGATTTAAAAACTTTAAGATTTTGTTTTCTTTTTAGCCTACAAGAAAGTTTAAACTGGTATCTTCCAATATTGGTCAGGGGGAAAGAAAATGCTTTGGAAGCGTTTTTATTTTTTTATTTTTTATTTTTAACAGTCCTTGGTGAGGAATTCGGCATGGTGCAGCGCCACCTATTGGCTGAGAGCAGAGTACACCTGCATGAACGCTCTCTAGATACAGGGTATACAGACAGAAATTTTCTTCCTTATAAATTCCTTACTGTTTTTAAAACAAGATTATGTCCTCATTCTGAAACTGTGGAAAGAGTGGATGTCGACAGTGGTCATGAGCAGGTGTTGAAATGTGAGGTAAAGAGCTCATGGTCGAGGACATTGGAACATCCGTGCAAAGAACAGAGCAGAAGAGGCCCTGAGGCAGAGCCTTGTCCCTGTGTCCCCTGACAGCAGCATGTGACTGCAGGGCAGTGGGGAAGCTGGACACATCAGCCTGTCTGTCTCCTCACAAACGAATAGAAATCCTTTCAGATGAATCCCCACCCCCCACGTGTTGAAAGCAGACAGCAGAGCCTCCATAAGAACATGTGGGAGATACTCCTCCTGAACAAGAGGTTAGCAAAGACTGATTTGGAGAGGATACAGAAGGGATTTCATTAAAATGAGATACTCTGTTGACAAGATCTGAATAGATAGGGAGGAAAATCATGATGGGGTGGGTGGGTGGGGTCCTGAATGCATACATCTGGCAAAGGTCCCAGAGCCAGGATGTCTACACATACAGCAAATCATTAGAACAAGACATTTAACACCTTAGTTTTTAATGGGCCAAAAGTTTGACAGGCATCACACTTCAGAAAAGAAAGCATGGCATGCAGCCCCATGGTAGAACCTTTGTCTAGTAGGTGCCAAGCCCTGAGTTGGAGATACAAAAAAAAAAAAAAAAAAAAAAAAAACATATAAGCAGTGATAATCAACAGCATTAGTTTGGTTTTGGTGTTTAGGAAAATACTCATTAGAACCACTGTATGCCCCCCAGAATGGCTGAATTTTTAAAGCCATGGAACAAGGATTCCAAAGGTTAGTGACACTGTGAACGGACAAGGGCATGGTCTTGTGAGGAAGGAAGCCTTGGGGCTGACCAGGACACTGTGGCTCCAGTGGAGCTACTGTGGTGTGTACATTTGCAAAACTTAACTCCAGTATCTGCTTATCATTCTTCATCATGGACTTCATTATAGCTGTGTTACTCTTTATCTAAAGAGAAGACTTAGAATGTTACAACAGACTGAAGGAGCTGACAGCCCTGACTCTCATCCTTGACACTAACCAATCTTAAAGTAGCAAAACAAGGGACAACCAGATGTCTTATGCTTATTAGAGAACGTGTAAGTCTTTTATGAGTGAAAACTTTGAATTGACCATTTCTCCATCCAGTGTCCTTTACAAGCACTGATGCCAGCCACCAATTTGCAGGATACATGGGTCAAAGACAATATATTAAATCATATTGGAGAGGTGCAGTGAGTGAGAAATATCTAGAATGTGGGACTCTCTACAAGACAAGCACCCCTTTTCTCTAACAAATTCTTGTGGACAAAGAGAAAAACCATCAATTACTATAAATTTATAAAACACCAACCAAATGTAATATGTACAAATTGCTTAGATGTAGGGTTTTTTTAAAGTCACTAGAAGAAAATATCTAGGCTATTGGAGCACTGGTTACTCGGCATTAAACCAGTAATGTTAGGCCAGTGTGGTGGCTCACTGGGTCAAGGTGCTTGGTGTGCAAGTCTGCCAAACTGAATTCAAGCCCAGAACCCACATAAAGAGGGAAGAAGCGGATCCACTCCACAGAGTTGCCCTCTCACTACCACATGCAAAGCACATCATGCCACTCTCCCAAAAAGAATTTTGGCAAAGTGAGGTTTATTTCAGTGTGATAGAGGTATCATGTTTAAGAATAAATGAAAGATCACTTACCTCCTTATAAAAGAAACTAATGCATGGAAAGTACAAGAGGAACATTCTAGAAAATACAAATATGCTCAAAAAAGGGCAAGAATATGCCATACAAACATGGGAACAACCTGATGGGATTCTGCATGGCTAGAGCTGGAATAATTTGAGGCAAAGATAATTACTGATAGACTTTTAGCACATGTAGTAAAATTTTCAGTGTCTGCCTAGGTTGATATAAATAATAAAAACAAATACATTTTCAAGTGGAAGAGAGCTATTTCTTATGGTAGGATGTTAAACAAGGGAAGAAAATATAAGGTCAACATTAGATAAATGAAACAGTCATAGTTAATTGCTGAAAACAAGATCCACCATTGTGTATGAAAATCATTGGTGACTGAATATACGCACAGTCCCAAAGTATCTCACTCCAAGATACGTATTAACTACAAAGAGAAAGATAATAACTTGACAGTGAAAATCCTCACCAGCACCCTCTTGTGGGCAAGATGAACATCCCTGGGACTGAGACATCAACTCATGAATCCTTTAGAGGGTGTAAGACTCCTCTTCTAGCTTTCTTAGCCAAGTCCAATCCCTCATCTCCAGTGACAAAGAAACACCAAAGAAACCCAGATGAAAGGACAGTCCGTTGTGGGACTTGGTAGTGACCTCTTCAAACTGTGGCCAGGGCACACGGGTCTTCTCTAAGCTTCCTTTCTACGTTCTGAATTTCATATTCCACAAAGCAGCCATCCAGGGCTCGTCAGAAGTGGCCACATCAAGACAGACAAGGAAAAGCTGACAGACGGGCCAACTGTCACAGACTGGAGAAGGTTAAAGAGATAGGAGATGACAACCAGAGTAGATCCTGGACCACAAAAGGGACCTTAGTGCAGAAGCTGGTGACGTGACTGAGGTCGGTAGTTCAGCCGTAGTGTGGTAGATCTGTTACCTCCTGATCTTGATGGTGTACAGTGGTTGTATGCAATGTGCACTACAGGTTGGGCAAGGGAACTCTCTGTGCTGTGTTTACAATGTCCCCATACATTTAAAATTACTTTTAAAAAGAGATTTTAAAGAGCCGTCATGTTTGGGAGATAGAGGAATTCTAGTACATTCTTCAAAGGCCGCGTATGTATTTGTACATATCTCCACTTGTCATTAGTTTTCCTGGCAGATTTCAGATGAGGTGGCTGCCCACTGGAATTTTTCCACACTGGGTACTTTGTATAAAAATCAGTTAGGATCCGGGCACACCTTTAATCCCAGCACTCAGGAGGCAGAGGCAGGTGGATGTCTGTGAGTTTGAGGCCAGCCTGGTCTACAGAGTGAGTTCCAAAAACCTCCAGGGCTACACAGAGAAACCCTGCCTAGAAAAACAAAACAAAACAAAAACAAAAAAACAGTAAGGGACCATATCAGAAATCATCATCTGGCAGGGACAGAGCTAGGACGGAACTGTGGGCCACATGCCAAGCCAGCTTGTCCCCTTTGCACCTTCCTTCTGACCTTTCCCCAGGGTGTAGACCACATATCTCCACAGGTGGTGTGCGAGAAGCAAGGTGATGGCAGACGCTGTCCAACCACCTGATTTTTTTCTGTGACAGGAACGGAGGAGGCCGCAGTGGCACCTTCTGTGCCATCAGCATTGTCTGTGAAATGCTCCGGCACCAGAGAACCGTGGACGTCTTCCATGCCGTCAAGACACTGAGGAACAACAAGCCGAACATGGTGGACCTCCTGGTAGGACGCCCCTCTGGCCTGCCCCGCAGGGTATCTCACAGTTGTGTAGGATTCCTCACCAGCTCCCACAATGGCGGTGCTCAATCAAGAGGACCCTCTGTTCCAAAGCGCCACACACGGTGTGGCTCAGGGCGACTTTTCCTCCCTTGCTCTCCTACTTCCTTTCCTGTCTTCTAGAGGAGACTCCCTCGGCTTCGTTGAAATGGTAGAAATGGTTGAGACTTACAAGTGAACATTCTTATTAATTTCCCTTCCTGGCAGTGCCTTCCACGTGGGTAAGCACTTAAGTCTTAGTGGAGAAGAAATAATCATAGTACAAGAAATGCCAGATTTTCAAATTATAGATTTTTATAAATAGCTTAATCGCCTAATATTTATCAAAGCTGTGAGTTTCAGGTTGACATACGGAATATGGCGTTTAATTATGGTGGCCATATCGGAGAAAAGCACTAAAGGAGTTGAGAAACAAAGGACTAGGTGCAATTATTTTCTTAGAGTGCTTCACAAAACCCCCCCCCCCTTTTTTTTTAATGTAGAGCTGTTAAAATGCCAGCCACGGTAACTCAATAGTAGAAGTATAGCTTCATGGAAGCAGCTTTGCTCTTGGGTGCTGTACATCTCTGTGAGTGAGCTGAAGGGAACCAGTGCAGGGCCTGGACAGTGACTCTTGCAGCAGAGAAGAGGGAGGAAGAGGCAAGCTATGCTGTGTCCTGAAGTCCACAGTTCCGCAGGGATGCAGTTAAAATCCAAGATGCAGAGAAGGGGTCAAGAGTTGAACTGAACTTGAGAAAGTAGCCAGGACTCCATGTGCTAGGTGAGGTGTTACTGGCGCAGTGCCTGGAGCCAGGTGATAGCGTGACCTCTGACAGCCGACTGCTGGGGCATAGCTAAATCCTCCTCTGTTGAGATCAATCCACGTGAGTCTACTTAATGAATAATAGTTATTTATTAAGATGTAAATTGAGGAAATACACTCACGAATACAGAACGGCATAGACAGCTGAAGTCGTCCTCCGATCTAGCCAGGAGTGAATCCATCTGGCAGTTCCATCAGACCAGGAAGCAGGGCGAAGGGGCTCCTGACCCTTCTCCCTTTCCTTTTAAGGCACCTTGGGGCCCTATAGCCCAAGGTCATGGGTGGAGCAAACACCACTACACTTCTCAGTACTCTCCGGTGGCATCTGCTGTCCCTAGACACGGGCTTGTGCTTATATTCCACATCTAGGAAGCGAGGCATTATCCAGGGACTCTGGCAGAAGGACTCCTTGGCTGGGTGCATGCCCTCAAACGTCTGAGCCATTACATCAACTCTGCCAAGAAGAATCCTGTTTCCCCAAATGTTTGCCTCTTCTTTCCTGCCCTATACGAAAACCAAAGAAACCCAAAGAGTCCCAACTGTGCTATTAACTTAAACTAGATGACCTCGAACACGCAAGCTTTGTGATGCCAGCATCCTTGAGTTTTACCTTTATCAACCAGGGGTAGTGGTAGCTTCTTTGAGGTGACACAGCATGAAAACACCTGTGAATGTGTTGGGGCATTGCAGATCAGAGAGGCAATTGGATGTGTAAGGTGTTCACTGGGCATGATGATGCCTTTGTGGCCCCCCGGGATGTGGTCATACCCAAGTGCTAAGGAAGGAGACGAGCAGCCCTATTAATGTGACATTTAGCATGTGCCAGGCCTGGCCCCTGTCACACTTCAAATGGTGATAGACTTCATGCACATGGGCTACAAGGTATGTCTGTGTGCAGAATTCCCTGGAACCAGCTAAGAATTGTCACGTGAGTGCTAGAGTCTTCACCCGACTGGGCTGAGAGGAGAGCAGCCCCAGTCACTGGTAGCCTGAGGTGGGGCAGGAAAGAAGTCTGCAGATGCCACACTTAACCTCACAGATAGACGAAGCTTCCAGAGTTTGGTTAGGACTTGGGCAGAGCTGCCCATGATTTAAAAAAAAAGAAAAAAAAAGTCAGTTCTCTCACCGAGTCCGAGTTAAGCAGAGCGTTAGAAGTACACCCTTCCAGGCCTTCCCTGTAATGGCTCTACTGAGGTATCATCACTCAGGAGTTTTTATGGTCAGATACGCCAGGCTTTTTTTCAAATCAGCGGTTCAGAGTACAGGCCAGGGCGATTCCTCATGAAATGAATGGAGGCTCAGGTGGCTGGCCAGAGGGAGTCTGTGCTGCAGACAGTAGTCTATACTACTATTCTGTAATGATATTGGAGTTTGGGGTGTTAGAAAGGAATGTCTTTTAAAAAAAATTAATTTCACTGACTTACAGTAATTCAGCATGGTTATGGGGTACAGTGTGGCATTTCAATACAGGTGTACGACGTATAATGATCAGGACACAGTAACCGGTGTCTCTGTTGCTTCGGGCATTTTTTTTTTCCATTCTTTGTGTTGGGAACCTTTTAAATCCTCTCTGATGGCTGTTTGGAAATATTTAACTCCTTGTTGTCAAAACCACGGTTCCCCACTGTGCAACAGAGCTTAGGAAGTCATTTCTTCCACACTGTGTCCTGTAAAGTTGTAGATAATTCTAGTTGCACATACGAGGTCCCCGGAAGCCTGGCACGCTGAAGGTCAGCACTGAGCTTTTGAGAAGGTCAGTGGCAAAGAGATGAAGGGAAAGTGATGAGATTTCCAAAGAAAGCCATCTGCCAATCTGTCACGGTGACTGTTAGCGAGATAATAGCTGGTGACCAGAGGAAAAATGTCACAATGCTCTTTTTGTCTGGTTTGAAGCTTCTGGACCGGAGTAAGAGCGTAAGAGCTCTTGTATTTGGTTTGGTGGGTTTTTTTTTTTTTCTTTTGGTCCATGAAGCACAGTATCTTTCTTTCTACTTTAGAATTCAGAAATGTTGGCTGAAGGAATTAATTAGCGTGGGTCAGCATGATAAAGTCTGGTACGGCTGTTCCATGGGTAGCAGCTAGCTGAGATCTGAGTGAAAAAAAATTGGGGCCAGCCATTGAGAAGGGTACTGAATATGTGAGCTGCATATTTAAAGAAATGAGTATGTTCCAGAAGGCCTCGGGGCATGCTTCTGAGCTGGTCAGCCAGGAAGCAGGGTAGATGGAGTGGGAAACTAATACCTGGACTCCACTGGGTCTCTTCACACAGCTCAGAGACAGGAGGATACCTACAGTGGCACCTCTATCCAGAACCCCCAAATGCTGCAACTGTACCCTTCCCTCCGACATGGGAGGAATACATAGGGATTCCTCCCTGTCTCTTCCTTCTTGCTTTGTGGTTCTGATGTCTCTAAACTGCCCTAGACTTTGAAAGTTTATACACTCATTTTGAAACCTGGCACTCTCTGGGATAGCTAGAATACCCTAGACATCTATTTCCTCACATTCTCAGTGTGGAGGTTTAGGGGAAAGGCAACATTGCTAGGAAGGAAATTAATTTAGAATACAAGGGCTGCAGAGATGGTTCAGTGGTTGAGAGCACTTGCTGTACAAGCAAGCGTGAAGGCCTGGGTTCAGGTCCCAGCGTCCGTAACACAGGCAGGGCCTCGGAAGTGCCTGTAATCCCTGCACCGTGTGAGACAAAGAGGAGAATCGCTGAGGCTTGCTAGCTTCCAGCCCAGCCGAAAGAACACATGTTCCAGGGAGAGATAGACCCTGTCTTCCAGGAATAAGGCAGAGAAAGAAAGAGGAGATGAGACATGCTGGCCCTCTGTGTGCACATGAGTGCGCACAAACACACACACAATAAAAATAGTAATTTAGAATATAAGGTTAGAACATTTTTTGTCCAGAGGTGGTAGCTGTACTTTATTCTGACCCCATTTTGACCTGGCTTCTAAGTTAACTATCTGTTTATGAAGCCTTGTCACCATCCCTAAGTTCTAAGTCCCCCAGAACAAACAAGGACAACTCTGCCTAGTTGGAATCAGAGACAATGGCCTTGAAGCTGTCGGGGATGCGGGAAAGCTGAAGCTCCCAGCAGCTCCCCTCAGCATTGCCCTCCTGGCTGGACTCTGTCTCAACCAACAGCCTCTGGGAATAGTGTTATCTAGAGGTGACACTTCTCCCTGCCCAGTGCCTTACCCTGAAGTCAGTGGCTGGACCTGTGGTCCCCTAGGTGTCCTGTCTGTGGAAAAGCTTCCCTTTCAGGAAAATGCAGGCTCTGAACTTGAGCTGCATGCCATCTGGGGCTTCATACCTCTTGAAATCCAGGTAAGATTGGCCCGATCTCTGTATAAAAATGGGGACATGACCAATCCAAGGTATGGTTGAGGGGGAGGGAGGTTTCATTGTAGATATGAGGGAGAGTGCAGCCTGAGGCATCTGGAAGAGTCCAGAGCAAGGAGAGAAAGTAGTAGACCAAGCATGGCCAGTAGACTAAACTGGGCTATGGTGGGGGGGTGGGAGGAATTGAGAGATTTGAGAGAGAGGCAAAAGGCAGAGAGAATCACGAGGGCACATGGCCAAAATGGCAGGGTTATATAGGAATGAAGAGATTGGGGGAGGGAAGGAAGCCTTGTTCTAGTGTTTAGGGTAGAGGGAAGAGCAGAGCATGCCAGCATGTACTTTGGTATGCTAATAGGCACCACAGTTAGCCATTTGGGGGGAGTCTTTTTGGACCTGACACTCCGCACCCAAATAGAGGCCCCTGGCCCTTCTCAGAGTTTCCACAAGGGGCCTAGGAAATTCCAGGCTCAGTCACCATTGACGCCTGCAAGTGTACCATGGAAGCCCACCTCCAAAAGCCATGCATGCCTTGTTGTACAACCACTTGTTTGGTGTTGGGGACCAGATACAAACCAGGGCACCCTGTAGTGAGCATCAGTCACCATTCTCATCATCCATGCCCTTCTTCTTCAAAGCGGGGCAGAAGAACATTAAGCCTGTCTGTCGGAGGGATTGGGGGTGGGGGGTTCATGTGTGGTATCACCCCATGGATACAAAATGTTCTGAATAGGTGACATCATGAATAACGGAAGTAAAGCGGTGCTTGTTAAGGGCTAGAAGGGGGGAGGGGACGGTT